TCGTTCCAGTAGCTCTATGTCCTTCTTGTGTTGGGGACTCCAGAGCTGAACACAGTATTCCAGGTGGGGTCTCATGAGAGCAGAGCAGAGGGGCAGAATCTCCCCCCTCGCCCTGCTGCCCACACTGCTTTTGATACAGCCCAGGACATGGTTGGCTTTCTGGGCTGCCAGCGCACGGTGCCGGCTCATGTCGAGCTTCTCATCACCCAACACCCCCAAGTCCTTCTCCCCAGGGCTGCTCTCAGTCCATTCTCCGCCCAGCCTGTACTTGTGCTTGGGATTGCCCCGACCCACGTGCAGGACCTTGCACTTGGCCTTGTTGAACTTCATGAGGTTCTCACAGGCCCACCTCTCCAGGCTGTCAAGGTCCCTCTGGATGGCATCCCTTCCCTCCAGCGTGTCCACAGCACCACACAGTTGGTGTCATCAGCAAATGTGCTGAGGGTGCGCTCGATCCAACTGTTCATGTCACCAACCAAGATGTTAAACAGCGTCAGTCCCAATGCCGACCCCTGAGGAACACCACTCGTCACCGGTCTCTGGAGAAAAGATGGGAACGTGTTTCAACTCTTGCTAAGATCGCTAGCGTTTTTCCCTAAGTTCTGCAATAAAGATAATAAAAAAACAAACCCAAAGCAGGTGTTAAATGCCCGAGGGAAGGAGGGAGTCAAAGCAGAGCATGAGCTGAACCACCTTTGTCTTGACTGAAAAATACTCTGATGCTTTCTAGGTTGATGGTAACCAGGTGCCATGTCCTCCCACTACCCCTCACGGGCTTTCATGGTGTCTGAACACGATACTGGTGTAGATGTATGAAAATCCCTGTCTCTTACCAGTGTTACCATCTCCTGAGGGAGTAGGGGTAGGATTAGCTGCATGTTTTAGGGTTTTTAAACCAGTCTTGTTGGCCAAACGCGTTTTGGCTCTGCGGAGCTACGCGCTTAATCGCCGTTTGATGTCAGCGCTCCGTACGGAGGCTCCGCAGCCCGTGCCCGGTGTGCAGATAAAAGGCAGGCAGCACGTCTGTGCCGGGGGTTTAACGTCCCGACACACCAGCGGGATCCCACGTGCCGTGTGGGTTTGGCCCGCCCAGAGCTGCAAGTCGAGTTTCCCTCCCCATGTAAATCCCAAAAGGATCCTGAGAGGTTTCGGAAGGCTGACAGCGTCGCTGCTTTCGTGCTTTTCTGCAGGGCCTGCCCAGTCGGGAATCCTCACGGACCGGGAGGTGGTGAGCCTGTTCCTCCACTTCACCGTGAACCCGAAGCCGCGGGTGGAGTTCATCGACAGACCGCGCTGCTGCCTGCGCGGGAAGGAGTGCAGCATCAGCCGATTCCAGCAGGTGGAGAGCCGCTGGGGGTACAGTGGGACTAGTGACAGGATAAGGTCAGCTCCTCTGCTCGTTCTGCTGCCGATAGATTCGTGTGTACTGAGCTTTCCACCCGCTCTAGACCTGAACCCGCAACACGCGCTACACCCCGACTGCCACCCTACGAACCCCAGTGCCAGCCCTGAAGGGCTGGG